TATATATATTGACGTGACACTTCAAAAGTGTGTTGCTAAAATAAAAGGCAGAGCGGCTGTCAGGCAGGGATTATTGTTGGCTGATATACAGTCTCCACAGCGCTGCTTGTCCTCTTTTGTCACCGTATTTGTGCAGCGTAATGGCACCGAGTAAGAGTGTGTCAAAGCTGCTGTTTAAATATTTATAAAAACAGTTGACAGAACAATGTCAGGGCAGCAGCAGGTGACTGATGAAGGGACAAGACCGGGCAAGTCACACAATGCAGCCTCAGAAAGCAAGCTGAACTCGACACTGTTGGACAGGAGGAGCACTGAAAGGTGGAAGGGAAGAAAAAAATGCAAAGGGCAGGGGATGCAGGGCTTAGAGGCTTTTAGCAGGACAGGAAATAAAGCTTTAACACACTTTCTCTCTCCACACTGGTAAAAGTCACAATGAAACCTGTTAATGTAACACTCTGATTGTGTTAAAAATCAGGGTTTCAACTATTAGTCAATGCTGTGCCATTAAAGCATTTCATTAAGTGACACTTGAGCCATCCAAAGTCATTCCTGCCACAAGAGTCCAATCAAATAAAAGTTTTCCTGGAAAGACATTGCACTGGCGTCCACTACAACACCACGCATCCTGATTCATATGTTGTCTAGGAAGCGTGCACGTGTACTTGGATGCATGCAGGCAAACTAAGTGTGTAACATGCTCCATGACGCACGTCACCAATAAGACCATGTGACGTAGACGCACAGGTAACAATAAGGCGGGAGTGCCCGAGCATGTGCGTGAGTGTACATGTCAGGCGTGACTTCCTTCTTTTCTTTGTGGCCTTGCGTCATGGTTTAAGGTGATCAGCCTAACATTTCAGGATCGTGTGAGTGTAGAAAAACAAGGAAACGTCAACACAGGAGACACTGTACCTGTCCTCTGTTTGGTTTTCCACGTTTACAAAGATGGAGGAGGTGGAGATAGTTCCCATGGAGGAGCCCTCGTAGAAGGATGGGTTGGCTGGGACAATGTCGGGGCGCAGATATGAACCGAACACGGCTGAGGAGGAAAAAAGAAAACTAAATTTTAAACATGTGACGGTTTCCTATCTCAGGTGGGCTCAGTTTTAACTTACATGGTGCCAATAAATACAAACAGTCATCTAAAGATGCTTCATAGTGACGGGAAAGGCCCCACAAAAA